CAAGTCTCTCTGCTTCCTATTATTCTTAACAAAGCAAAGCATCCCCGACACTAAACTCCTTGTGTTATTTTTCTAGACTCATCCCAAGACAGCAAGGCTGGGGACCAGCTTCTTCCCTAAGCTTCCGATCCAACCCTAGACCCTGTCACCGATGCTCCTGTACTCCCTTCTCCAGTGTGGCACCCTAATTGGTTCCTGAGGTAACTCTCCAGGGGACAGTTGATTTCGTGACTTCCTAACCAGGTGTCTAATAACTTCAAAGGTTTCTCTTTAATTTCAAACTCCCAAATCCCTGTCCTTTGGGAGGCTGTGATGGAAATGGTTCCTAGTCTTGTACTCTTCCTGCTTTGTACCAAAAGGAATCTCTTTCTTTGAAGGCTCCTTAGATCTCACTCAGGAATTTCATCACGGGTTTTACACAATGCCACCCTCCCCAGCTAGAAAGGCACAAATTTTTCCTCCCATCACGAAAGCATACTGGAATTGGTGACTTTGAAAGCTCACTATTTCGCAGAAGCCAAGCATGCTATCAAGAGTCCTTAAGTGAAAGCTGGGAGAGATAGATGTGAGTGAGATATGAACAGACTTCCACCTTCAACAAAATTCTTTAAGGTGACCCCAGTGGTTCTCAAGCCTCAGTGCGATTGAGAATTACCCATGACTGGAAAATATGTGATGTTAGCCTACCCAGCCCTTCCATAGGATTCTGATGCAGCTCTATTCATAGCAAACAACAATACATTCATAGTCATCCCAGAAAATTCCCACACAGTAAATCTTCAACATTGATATTTAGATACACTAAAGAAGCACTCTTAGGAGCTGTATCCCTGCTTCACCCTCTATTTGTGGTGCTATAAACAAAAGAGAAATAATAAACACACATATATGTGTATTTCAAAAAATGTGATTATCTTCCTTCCTCATTGAATTGACACAGTCGAGGTGAGTTTAGGTTTCCTGTCATGTAAATCATTTAAAGAGGTAGACACAGAGTGTGCCATCAAAGTTCATGGGTGACAAACCAATGACCTAAACTTCACCAAACTTACTCCAGAAAATACACAGACACAAGTGAACTCCGGGGCTGTAGTTCTCAAACTTCAGTCACAGAAGAATTCCCCAAGTTGCTGTTAAAATCCCAAGATCCAGACTGTACCTCTTAACAATTAAATAGGAATGTCTGAGAGTTGGAGCCAGACACAAAGATAATTTCAATCCTGAGATGATTACAATGTGCATCAAGGTTTAAAAACTGCTGACAGACTGTTCTTGCTCTTCCCTGGGTGACTGAGGTAGGAAAACAGGGTTACTGCTCTCATACTTTGGGGACCTCTTTGTGTGTCCTTCTCACATGGAAATTCTATTAAGTAACCACACCTCATAAGATGTATAAAGTCCTATGGTTAAAAGAAACATCAACAATTTTAGCTAACCCTGCATTTCCCAAAAGGAATCATAAACTCTCATATACATTAGAATCCTACAGAATCAGAGTTCTTAGAGATGGATGCTCCTGAGGCAGTGTGACTCTACGGAGGCTCAGAAATTATTCAAGTGCTAAACAAGTCCTTATTCTCATATACAGCATCTCCTGATGACTCATCTCAGGGTCTGGCTCCTCTCTGTGAGATTGCTTCCCCCAAAAGCAGTTGTTTCTACTGGTAAGGGAATTGGCTGGGAGTTCTAGACAGATCTCTTAGGTACTATAGGGGACACCACCTTGGCCTTTAAGAAAGACTTTCCTTTGAGTCATGAAGTGGGCCCCCTAACGGGGTCTTGAAGATCTAGTACACAAATAATATTCATTCCATCTACCATTCCATCTACCACTCCATCCATTTTCTGGTTTCAAGAGATATTTAATTGGATGGAATAAATTTATGCTATCTAATGAGGTTGATTCACTTTCTCCAAATGAACATGTAGATCAAATCATATCCCACAAATATGTACAGTTATCATGTGTCAATTTAATTTTAAATGCTTAAAAATATAATGGTTATTAGTCAGGACTAATTTGCAAGTTTCAAAATTATTCCATTTTGCTATTATATATTTTATCCTTTTCTATATTTAAATGATATGGAAAAGTTATCACTTAGTTACTTCTTAATTTGGGTCTTACTACATTTGTAATGAGAAAAGTTCATGTCAGAGAATATTTTGGGATCTATTCCCCTACATTATGTTTTCTACTATCTTTTTTGTTATGTCTATTTATGTCAGGGTATATGTGTTTTTTAATTTCATACTTTATATGCTTATATCTTCATTTTTATATTTTTTCTAAAATTATTGTTTGCATAATATGGTGAGTTTTAAGTATCACTGAAACAGTGTTTCTCCTACATGTTTTATAACAACGTTCTTGGGTGGATGCAAGTTTAATGTTGGGAGTGATTTCTTTTACATGGCAAATATTTATACCACATTTTAAAAGATTTCTCTCTGTCTCATTCCATGGCTCTTATACATGATTTTAGGATACTCTATCTCCATTTTCGTTATTTTACTGGCTTGAAATCAATTTCAATTAATGTTATAGAAAAAATATTGATAGGCTGGTTTTTAGGTCCTATTTGTTATATGTAGTCTCCATTAATTGCAGCTAACTAATATAATAAATCTTACAAGTAATCTCCTATATTCTTAGTGTGTGTAGTTTTGTTTGAAATGACACTGAATATCTTTACCATAAGAGAAAGAAATAAAATAGGACTATTTGTAAATTTAAAAAGAATGGTTATTGGTCTGTAAACATGGCAATGAGGATACGTTAGCCAGCCCGTGTTCAGTTTCAGAGGGGTATTGATCATGTTTTTATGTTTTCTGTTAAAGCCTATAAAAGAGGTTTAGATACTTTTCATTAAGACATTTTTTCCAGAGACAAACGTTGGAAGGGAAATAAACAGACTAACAGCAAAGATTGTTTAGCTGCTTACTATTTATGTATCAATTCACTGTTCTAAGATAAAGGCTAAGAATGTATCTGATGGATGAATGCATGGACTGACTGATTAGTTGTATTAGCTCATTTAATCCATGCAACAGTCCTATTCATGACTCAAGTACTATCATTATTCCTCTTTTAAAAGCCATTAGAAAGTGTAGGCATGGATGTTAACTGGAATCCCAATGCTGCTACAGTAAGAGACCAAGTTAGAGTTAGAATCCAGAAGCCCAGCCCCAGAATGCATACTCCAAACTCCAAGTCCCAGTCACACTGAAAACTTTCCACATGAATATCTCCAAATTCCATAATGTCTGCATTCTCCTTGTGTTCTGTCTTCTGTAATGTCTGTATTCTCCTTTGGAAAAGAAGACTTGGGTTGGACAGGACACCTAAGTTGTATGGTAAGCAGATTGTGATGGGAAATTCTTAGCATACTTGGGAAGTCCCTTGCTCCTTCTCCAAGTGTCAAGCACAGCTTCTGGTGTGATGAGGTAGACTCAGCTCTCCACCCTACTCACATGCAGCCACTGTAGCAGGTTGAACTGGGATAAGACTGTGAGTTGATCTGTACTGGTCTCAAGGAACACCCAACTCTAAGGCTGAGGATCACCTAGTCCCTCTAGATCTGCTTTGGAAGGACCCATCCCAACGTTAATATTTCCTCTCAATGGTTCTTTGTCTATTTGCTATTCCAGAGGCTAGGAGAAAAGGAGCTTGCCTTTCAGAATAAGAATCCTAGAAAAGAAAGCTCAGTAGGCTGCAACTGTTCTTTTCCAATGTCTTGGAAGTAAGGGACCTGTGGTTTGAGAAACAATGATGCAAGAGTCAATATACTGCAGGAGGCTAAGATATTGCAGTGTTTAGGGACTCAGGACAGTCAGGATTACCTTCCTGCCACCCCACCACAAAATGTAGCAATACTCTGCCTCAGGCACAAAATCTTCAAAGAACACAGTGAAAATGGATTGGCATTATGGGCAGTGAGACTGGAAAGTCTTCAACCATGTGGATTCTCGAGCATGCAATGTGACAAAGGAAACAGGAGCCGCTGAGACAGAGGCTGTATTTCTAGAGGGGAAAGCAATGGACAGGCATGTGATTGCAGATGATGTTAAGCAATTTATGTAATGCATCTCCAGAAATCAATACCAGAATCTGAAGAATGTTTCAAAAGAGTCAGTGTCATCCACTGGGCCATCTGATTGCCATAATAAGGGTAATTTGTGCTGAATACTGGTAGCTCACCCCTGTAATCCTAGCAACTCAAAAGGCTGATATCTAAGGATAGTGAGCGAAAGTCAGCCTGAACAAGAAAGCCCTGAGACTCTTATCTCCAATTAACCAGCAAAAAGCTATAAATGGAGCTGTGGCTCAAGTGGTAGAGTGCTAACGTTGAGTGTAAAAGCTAAGAGACAGTGCCCAGGCCTGAGTTCAAGCCCTACAACTATCCCAAAAATAAGGTAAAAAAATTTTTTTTTAAATCTAAATATTAAATCCTAACTGATGGCCTAATTCTGAAGTACATAGAAGTTAATGCTAACATCTATAACAAACATTAAGAATAATCAAAATATAAACTGGGTTGATGGATGGAATAAATTGATAGAGGGATAAATTCACAGGCAGATTATATGTGTCACGAAGTAAATAGTAAATAGTAAGTGAAAATATGACCAATTACGCAACCTAAGAACTTAGTACAAGGTGTTTATGTTACATTATATGCAATATTTTTACATGGTGAAAATTGTCATGGACTATCTTGCGAAAATAAAAACTTGTTTTACAACCACAGACTGGTCAGGTAAGCCACATCTGTATTGCACAAGATTAAGTTCCAGAACCTTTTGTGTTCTGGGAGTGACAGCTCTAACTCCAATCTCTTCTGAGGTTTTTCTTCATTTCCTTCTTCAGGATCTAATCCCATGCCGTGTTTATTTGAACATTCAACCTCATATTGAATAAATATTAAGCCGTGAGGACCCACACTTTGGGGACTACCAAAGAGTGGGTGATTCTCCGGATGTTTCCCGATGAGAAATGCTTAGGAGAGTCTGACTCTATTAAGCATTTTCCTGAGAGCGTCTTTCACTTCCTTGTTCCTCAGACTATAGATGAGGGGGTTCAACATGGGGATCACGGTCGTATAGAATACCGACACCACCCGATCCTTTTCTGAGGACTGGCCCGAGTTATCTCTGAGGTACATGAAGATGAGGGTACCAAAGAAGAGGGACACCGCGGTGAGGTGCGAGGCGCAGGTAGAGAAGGTCTTGGCCCGGCCTCCCACGGAAGGAATCTTCATAATGGCTACAACGATGAACAGGTAAGACACCAAGATCACCACCATGCAGGCGGGGATGACAAAGATGGCGAAGACGATGATCACCACTTCCTGGGTGTAGCTGTCCCCACAGGTCAGCTTTAGCAGAGGCGGGAGGTCACAGAAAATGAAGTCGATCTCGTTGCTTCCGCAGAAGGAGAGCGTGAACGCTGAGATTGTGCGCACAGAGGCACTGGAGAGACCCGCAAGGTAAGCCCCGGCCACCAACCCCAATCGAGTCCCCTGGGTCATGATGCTCACGTAGAGCAGGGGTTGGCACACAGCCACATAGCGGTCATAAGCCATCAGGGCCAAGAGGTAGCAGTCGATGGAGCCAAAGAAGGTGAAGAGGAAGAACTGAGCAGCACAGCGGGCGTAGGATAGGGTGGCCCCGTGCTGCAGCAGCACAGCCATGGTCTGAGGCACGGTGACGGACGAGTAGCAGATGTCCATGAACGAGAGGTGACTCAGGAGAAAGTACATCGGGGTGTGCAGACGGCGATCCGCACGGATCACAGCGATCATACCCAAGTTCCCCCACAGAGTGGTGAGATAGATAAACAAGAACAAGAAGAAGAGAGGGAGCGCCCGTTCGGGATGCTCAGTGAAGGCGATCAGGAGGAATTCGGTCACGAAGGTGAGGTTTGCCTGGGCCATGAAGCCAGCACGCTCCATCTGAGAAGGAACGACATGGGAAACATCATCCCCGGGAAGCTGAGGCTTTGCTTACAAGCACTGAGCCTTTACCATGTAGACAAAATACATGGGAGTGCACGGGACCGTGCAGGTGGCTGTGGATCTTCCCTCCCTTCAAGGAAGTTCTCTGAGATACACAGAATCATCTCAAGATAGGTCTAAGGATAAGAATGCGCATTCTGACACCTCTGTAGGAAGCCTTCTCCTCAGCTCATCACTGGGAGCCAGAGCCTCCTTGTGGCTCCATTGGGAACTAATACCTAATTTCCGATTACCAGGTGGTTCTCCATCTTTGTGCTCCCCCCCCCCCTTTTTTTTTCTCCCAAGACCACAGCCCTAGTCCTCTTTGGCTCTTCTAGGGCTTAAAGAAACACCCAAGGAACTATTTTCCCCGCCTTCAGGGAAATTCTAATTACTTTACTTGAAAGACCAATAAAACTGGTATTTCTTTTTTTTTTTAATTTTATTTTATTTTATTTGTGAACAAACTGTACAGAGGGGTTACAATTGCATGGGCAGGATAATGCGTACATTTCTTACCAAGCATTGCAGCCTCCTCCTTTGTTTACCCTTCCCATCCCTTCC